GTCCTGTGGCACCTTTGAGACTAACAGAAGTATTGGGAGCATAAGCTATCGTGGATAAGAACCTCACTTCTTCAGATTCCACGATAGCTTATGCTCCCAATACTTCTGTTAGTCTCAAAGGTGCCACAGGACCCTCTGTTGCTTTTTACAGATTCAGACTAACACGGCTACCCCTCTGACACTTGACAATCAATCTCATGTCTTATGAGTTATGTGTGTCGACATCATAGTTGGGCTCCTCACTGTCACTTTGTAGCTTAAGGAGTAACTTGACTGCAATTCATGACGTGCTGGCGATACCCATCAGCATATTCCTCAGCAGATCGGGATCCATTCCCGCAGACTGAAAGGTAAGGAAACGAAAAGTTGAAAGATGGCACCAAATGTGGATGGAAGCACAGATATTGCTGGGATGCAAATCAATGCATCACGGAGCATTGGGATAGGACCCAGGATGCCCTTTCCCTGCCCCCTTCACACAAGCTTCAGCACCAGAAAGGGAAGAGGTGCTCTGTGGGATAGCTGCCCATGATGCACCGCTCCGAATACCGCTGCAAGTGCTGCAAATATGGCCATGCCACTGCGCTTGCAGCTGACAGTGTGAACACATGGCAGCACTTTCCCTGCTGCTGTCTCTGAGGGCTGATTTAACTCCCAGCACTCTACATCTGCAAGTGTAGACAAGGCCTAAATTAGCTAACATGGGTTAATTAATGTGATTCAAGAACACAACTTTTTTGGTATGTGTAAATATACCATAAACCTGTTTTTACATGGATTTAAATCCATTGGCTTCAGTGGAATTAACCCCTATTTATACCACTGTGAAAGACTGAAATCTGCCTATAGTCTCGATTCAGCCAAGCACCTACATGTGTCCAATAAAGATAAATTTCCTGTTCTGAAATATAGATCAAAAAAGTTAATTTAATTTACATCATCTTTGCACAGGAACACACAACACTTGTTCCATATGCTGTGAAATAGCAATCTCTCTCTGGTAATTATTAGCAAATTTTTCTCACAATCTTAAATCCAATAGCAAGTTTCACAACCTCAGTGTTGCAGTTACTGGTAAAAATTGGTTGAACTGGTTCCAAGGCCAAAAGGGACTGTTGTGATCATTGAGTCTGATCTCCTGTATGATACAGGCCATGGAACTTCCCCAAAGGAATTCCTAGATTATATCATTTAGAAGAACATCCTATCTTGATTTAAAAATTCAGTGATGGAGCATCCATCATGACCCTTGGTAAAATGTTTCAATGGTTAATTACCTTCACTGGTTAAAAATGTACTCCTCAGTTCCAGTCTGAATTTGTCTAGCTTCAACTTCCAGTCATTCCAAAGCTATACCTTTGCCTGATAGATTGATGAGCCCTTTATCAAATATTTGTTCCCATGTAGGTACTTCTAGATAGGAATGAAGCCACCCTTTAACCTTCTCTTTATTAAGATAAATTGATAGACTTAAGGAGTTCAGTCACTATACGGCACGCTTTCTAATACTTTCATCATTCTCGAGGCTGTTCTCAACACCCTCTCCGATTTACCATCATTCTTGAACTGTACACACTAAAACTGGACACAGTCATACAGCAGCTGTAAAAAGAGTGCCAAATCAAAAGGTAAAGTAACCTCTCTACTCCTGCTTGAGATTTCACTATTCATGCATCCAAGGATTGTAATATTTATTTTGTCCACAATATTGCACTGAGCGCTCCAGTTTATCTGATAATCCACTGCAATCCCCAAATCTGAATGAGATAATGTATGAGTGATTAATTTCTAAAGCATGCTTGCTTAAATGTGTTCGTATAGTGAGCTCTAAAAGAGAGAGATTGGAAGTATATCCTATGGGTTGAAAGCTATGATCCTTCAGTTGTTGTTTTTTAATTGTATTTATTTGTATAAAGCCGAAGTAAGACAATAGACTTGCAGGATTTAGCAAAGAGGGAAATTTGAATGGTCTGTGGCTTAATGCCATGCATTATTCCTTGTGACAACATTGCTTCAGCATGTTCCTTTAGTACACTAGGATGAATTTCATCAGGCAATGCCAACTTGAATACATCTAAATTACCTAAATATTTTAACCTGTTCTTTTCCTATTTTAATTTGTGTTCCTTCTCCCTTGTTGCTAATGTTAATTGTGTCTAGTAAATGGTCATGATTAACCTTTTTCAGTGAAGATTGAAGCAAAATAGGCATTAAACACCTCAGTCTTCTTGATATCATCCATCATTAACTCTTTCCTTTGTCTCTCTTGCTCCTAAAGTATTTATAAAACCTCTTCTTATTGCATTTTATGTCTATTGCTAGGCATGATTTAGCTGTAGTCTTTCTGATTTTGTGCCTATCTGCTTATGCTGTTCTTCTGTAATCCTCCTTAGCAATTTGTCTGCTTCCACTTTTTGTAGGTTTGTTTTCTGATTTTCAGGTCATTAAAGGAGTTCTAATGGAGCCATATTGGCCTCTTATCAGGGTGCCAGAATGGGGGAGGGGAGGGGGTCATGGCCGCCTACCTTTTTACCAGTAGTAAGGGAGAGTGACTGGGACAGGGGGTAGAGAGGAGCAAGCCAGGTGGGACTTTGGGGAGGAAA